GACGGATCCTAAGCAAAAGAAACCGATGACTGCATCGGATTATGTCAAGAATCAGCCACACCTTCAGGGTAAACCCCTGACTATTCAAAACCAATACTCGGCCCTAGCCGAATTTCCCCCACTCTCTTACTCAAAAGCCGTAGCCACTACAAACAGAGGGCAATCCTCTGAACCTACCCAAACACCTCCAACAAAATCCGCTTATTTCCTAAAACCTCACAAACAACACCTCTATACAACCCATTATCCCGAGCCTATCAAACTAAAAGAGCTTCAAACCTTTACCAACCGCATCTTCTATGAAGACTGCCTCTACCCAACAGATAATGTAACCAAGAACCGTACTTTTTATGAGTATATTCTGGTAGACTCTCGTTCTATCGAAATTACTCATTACCCCGACAAAACTAACCCAAACACTATCTCTTACTCTACTTGTAAAATCCTTAGAATAGCACCTCTCCAAGACCTTGGTTTTCAACACCTCCACACAACAAAACCTTTCTCTCAACCCGGTTTTCCAATCACCGGCTACACCTACACCGATTACCAAAATGCTTGGTTCCGTTTCCTTTACCTACGTCCATATGATCATTCATGGTTCTTAGCCTTTGATCAAAAATTCAACACTTATGTCCCTGGCTGGTTCTATGAATGGTGGCATTGGTTCGGACCCTGCGATCAAATCTACCCCGCCGATCTACTCAAAACAGCCTACCCATATTTCTTAAAATATATTCCTAAACAAACCCTTGGCACTTATCAAAAAATCCTATTCCATGCCAACATGGGCATTCCATGGATTTGCTCCTGGCACTTCAATCTTACCCAAGCCTTACCCGATATGCCTTACTCCTTAATCAAAGAATACCGTGTCAAATGGTGGGACAAATATAATCTCGACCGTTGCTCGTTAATCAACATTACCAAATTTTTTGGCAATGCTCGCCAAGATCAACTCCTTGTCCAATCCGTATCAAAATCCATTCCTTTACTAACTCCCAGCCAACTTACTCAAATCCAACCCATTACCATACCTTCTCAAACGCCAAGCCCTACCAAATCCACTAGCTCAACATCCTCCCAAAAACATAAAAAAAAGGCCAAACTAAAAAAGGCCCTTCAAGCCCTTAGCCAAGAACTCCTCGACTCTTCCGATGACGAGGACATCATTAACCAAGACGATTTATCTAGCGACCCTAACGCCCCCTACGGTGGGCCTCTCGCTCAAGATCCCTTCGAGGATATGCAACCATAAGATACGCTAAAATAAAATACAGAGTATATCTAAACATTAGATGTACTCTAAAAATAAATATATCAACATATTCAAGAAGACTGTCGGCTGTAAGTGGGACCCGCTTTCTAGAAGACAAAGACATCCGACATGCGGGACCGACGACAAGACTCACTCAAGACTGTCGGCAGTGTCG